GACATACCGCCCAAAAAAGGCCACACCTTCTAATCCTTCACAAAGAGTTCCAACAACTAGGGACCAAGTATTCAAACATATGAGCCTGAGTAGGCAATTCCTATTTAAATCACCACATTTTGCTGCCTGTCCCCCATAGGCTTGGATCCATGTCATAATGCAAAACGGACTTAGTCCAACCTCAAAGGTCTCCATAGTCTTTGATGGTCTCACCACTCTTTCAAAGCTGTGTGAAAATGTGTTAATCTATGGCTATATGTGTTCCTTATACATTTTCCTTTGGCACTTTTCCTTGTCTTTGTTTATCCTAATCTTGATTTTAGGTTATCATGATTATGGTTGATGATGTTTATTTTGGATGCATGTTTGTTTTCTGAGTGTGTATGTGTGTGCATGCGTTTTTGGTGAGTAGGGAAGTGGGGAGGATCTGGAAGGAGTTGGGAAAGGGGAAACTGTAATCAGAATATATGCATATAAAAATCAATTTTCATTAAAAAAGTAAAAAAGTCCAAGTTCAAAATATTTTCTGAAATTCAGTGCACTCTCTAAACTATAACACTTTATAACAATAAAAATCAAATTATTTATTTCCAACATAAAATAATACAGAATACACATTATCATTTCAGAAGGGTGGAACTGGAGCATAATGATGAAATAGTATATCAAAGAAAAATTGGAAGTAAGCAGGGAAAACTATAAATCCTATAGCTCCATGTCTGATGCCCCCCAGTTGGTGGAACTATTCGGAAAGACATAGGAATCGTGACCTTATTAGAGGAAATGCATTGCTGGAGCTGGGGTTTGAGGCTTCAAAAGACTTGGACCATTTCCAATGCGCTCTCTGCTTCCTGTTTGTGGATCCAAATGCAAGCTATCAGATGTTTTTGCCACCATACCTTTACTTCACCATCATAGACTCTGACCCTCTGAAACCATAAGTGAAACTAAACACTTCCTTTTTAAAGTTCCCTTGGTCAGGGCAATAGATAAATAACTAAAGCAGAAAATTGGTACTGGGAGTGGTGCTATTGCTGTGTCAAACTTGACCATGATGTCTTGTTGAGGAATGTAGAAGATTTAGGAACTCTGGGATGGGAAAGCATTTGAAATCTGTAAACAGGGCTTAAAGAGATATCCTAATAGAAACATGGAAGACACTCATGATGAAAGAAATGGAGACTGTGGGGGGCAACTCAAGAGGTTTGGGAGGGGAACAATATCAGAATCTGGGCCAGAGAACCATTCCCTTCAAGTAGATTATGTAATGACTGTAAGTATTGTCACCCTGTCTCGTCTTCCACTGTCCATAAGCAGCAGTCAACTTGTCTCTGAACATGACTTTTTCCATCACTGTTGCTGATGTAAGAATCAGGCATTAACTCACCTGCCTCACTGTTGAGAAGCTAAGACTGAGAGGAGTTAGTTCAGCTGGTCCTGTTGGCTCCACCCATGTTGACATTTAAAGTCCCAGTGCCAAATTCTTTCTCTCTGGCGTCTGCTTGGACTAGACACCCACAGTGCATTATTAGTCAGCCTGTTACAAATGAGCATAGTCATGCTTAAACATACTGCAACCTTCCCTGTCCCCTGCCTGGGACTCTGTGCAGCTTGCCCTTGCTTGAGTCATTCTTGGAAAGCATCTGAGAGGAGTGTATGTGAAATACACCATCACCCTAGACACAAATGTCAACGGGGTGCTTTAGGAATATATCTCTTCAGGAGAAAAGTGGGGCCTTTGGAGGGGAGATGACTCATTCAATGCTGGGATTTCTGTGCAAGCATGAAGACCTGAGTTCAATCCTCAACATCCTTGTTAAAAGAAAACAAACTGGACTCAGTGACAAGGGCTTTCAATTCCAGAACTGGAGAGGTAGAGACAGGTAGGTCTCTGAAACTGGTTGACCATATAGCCTAGTTTGCCCGGCAAACGTGGTGATTTGGATAAGCAATGTCCACCATAGGCTCATAGATTTGAATGCTTAGTTCCTAGTTGGTGCTGCTCTTAGGGGAGCTTTACGAGGTGTGGCATTTTTGGAGGAAGTATGTCACTCTAGCTGGGCTTTGAAAATTTAAAAAGTAGCCATTTCTACTCTCTTTCTCTCTCTCTGTCTCTGTCTCTCTCTGTCTCTGTCTCTCTTTCTCTCTCTCTGCTTCATGCTGTGGTTAAAGATGTAAACTCTCAGATGGCTACTCCAGCTGTATGCCTGCCATTTGCAGCCATGCCTTCCAGCCACAATGGCCTCACCCCTCTGAAACCATAAATCCAAAGAAACTCTTCCTTCTGTAAGTTTACACTCAGGAAAGTAACTGAAAAAAGCAAGCTTTTATGCCACTGAGACCCTGTCTCAGTAAACAAGGTGGAAAGTGACTGGTAAACAGCACCCAGAGTTGACTTCTAGACTCCAAAAAACTGTAACCTCCCCTGCCCGCCCCCTCCACACGACATATGCACACTTTGCACGCACAGAGCAAGAGGCCGGCTGCTTTTCTACAACTTGCTTTAGGATATCTCGCATGGACTGTAGTGTCAAGTCCCCTTTTTTGGTAAAAATAAACTAAACATTTGTATTTTGTTTTACCATGTACAAAGACTGGCAACTGAGAAGAGGTTCTGTAGATGTTCATCTATCAGCAGTTAAATTCAAAAGTTTTATGCTACATCAGAAAAGAGGAAGCAATTTAATAACAAATTCCTTTAGTCAAAAAGTATTCTTATACTATTATTTAAAAATAAATAAGTTACAATGAATTGGAAATTATACATTTAATACCCTATCTGATGGCAAAGTAATACTTTAAAATTAAGCACTTTGTTTAATAAAAAAGCACAATTTTGAAAACAAGTTTGGCAATGGCACTGGCAGTTAAATGCAAAGAATGTTCTTGAAAGTGGCAGGAATAACATTAAAATACTCTATTTTGTCTTTAATAGATATTTGATTACATTATTAACACATGAAGTAAATTTTAATCAAAACATACACATTTCAAAGTAAGAAAGAGAAAACAAACAAACCCCTATAATATATGTGTAATCCAGAACACCTCCGAAGTTGCTTTAGAAAATGCTCTGGTTTTCGGAAGGTGTTAAGTAGTCTTCTATTTTGGACAACAGTCTGGAGGTTTGGGGAAGTGCTCCCACCTGCAGCTTGAGTTGCTATGAAAGGTATCTGGGAAACCTTGACAATGGGTGAAAGATCTTCAGGTTCTTCTTCCCAGAAGTAAGTAATTCTAGGAGCTACATTAGTAAATTCATGGAAATTAAGGTATCTGCTGTGGCCCTGAACTTCCAACAGCAGCACCTGGATGGCTAAAAGCGCTCACTCAGGACCTTGAGAATATAGGGAAGACAGGGAAGGTGTGTAGGAAGCTGGTATCATCTGTCTAAAAGCCACATGGGGCCAAAGAGACCCCGCAAGGCTATGAACTTGTCCCCTCTGCTCTCTCCTCCCATAGCTCCCCTGGCTACATACCAGGAGGAAGACTCTATAATATATACAGTATTATAAACTGAACATTCCCACGCCTTTGTTTTCATACAAGAAAGGAGTTTATACTGCTTCAGGAAGTTTAAAAGCTCAACTTGGAGCCAATACATCAGGAAACTTGCCAGGTATGGACTGGCAACATGGCCAGAAGGTAAAACACTTGCCACATAGTCCTGATGACCTGAGTTTGATCCTGTGGACCCACATAAAGGTGGAAGCAGCAAACTGTGTCTTCAAAGTCTAGACTGGCCTTGAACTCCAGATCCACCTGCCTCTGCCTCCTTCAGCAAATCCTACAGGTCTGCGCCACCAGAACTGGCAAGAAAAAAAAAAAAAACAAACTTATCAAGCAGGACCCAAAGATTCAAATAAACTCTTACCTCTTCTGTTATGGCATTCCTTATGCCAAGCCTCTTCCCTGATGTGGAATGCCCCAGCTCACTCATGAGCTTATAGATTTGTATCTACGTATTGATGTCCCACCTACAGCTGAGTTCCACAAAGATGAGGACTGGGTCTCAGTCACCTTTCTATACTGTGAAATGCCCACAAAGTACTTATTACCGAATGACAAACTGAGTAGATGGGTGGCGGTTGGGAAGTCAGCAGTCTGGGTGGGCCCTGAGGGAGACATTGGCTGGAGTGTGTGAAGATTGCACTGCCTGGGTCAGGAGGTGGGTTTTAACCTGCAGGGAGAAACAGAATGAACAAATCTCATGGAGAGACCTCCTGTTGGGACTATGTCAAGGAGTTCTCACTGAGTTTTACTGAGGATCAGAATCTGCTAGAAGAAGCAGAAGGAAGCTGTGACCAAGCATTATTCACAAACTTTATTTTCATAGCTGGAGAATTCTGTCTGTCCACAATCAATGTCTTGCTAGACATTTAATGGAAAATCCCCTGGAGCTGCAAGTCTCACACTCCTGTGAGTTGGGCTTCTGCTGAGATACAGAACCACTGAGCACAGCAGCACAGCAGTTTAGATTCGGGTAGGCAATGGAATTTTTATCACAAATGTAAACTGATATTAAATAGTGTGTTATTAGAAGCATTCAAAGGAGACTTATTTAAAATGCATTTTTTCAATCTGTTAATTTTTTTTTTCTAATTTTCAATTGTGATTTATTTATTTATTTATTTATTTAGAATGGTCTTACCCAGTCCATTCTGGCCTCAAAATTCAGTATGCAGTCAAGAATGATCTTGAATTTGTAACCCTCCTTGCCTCTACTTGAGTACTGGAATTCCTTATGGCAGGAGCAATTCTTTGTGCCGCATGTGCTACAGAGTCGGGATTACTGGAATTTGATGTCTGTGGAGTAGAATATAATGGTCACAGAGCCGGATTTGTTTCCCTTAACATTAAAAACAAGGTTACAAGATGCTGTTCTCAAATACCATATGTCTTCCTTTCAATTGTTAAGAGTGATTTCTAAAGATCTAACACAAGAGCAGATGATCCACACTGGCTGGATTTGGAAGTAATTGGATTTTCTTTTCTCTTCACAGAAATTATGCATGCATGGAAAGACCGGTAAGAATGAACGTCAACCCATGCCTACTAATTACCATCAGCTAGGGCCTGGCTTTTGAAATCTTATTTAAGAAGAAAAAAAAATGAAATAAAACCACAGGCTTGGCTGATAGAAAACTGTATAACGTTTAAACAATGATGAGGAAAGCCCGTCTTAAAGCAGACTAGACTTTGGACCAAACCCAACCAATGTTTCTCATCCATGTTTATTTTGTTACTTGACATGATTCAACTCATTAAGGATTTCAAAGGTCCAAGGGAAAGTACTTTTACTTTGCCAAGGCATCCTTAGTTAGAATGCCATTCTCTCCCATGATCCAAGACAGGGGTTTCCTCCTACTCAGTTCTGAGTAATTATGTGTAAGCAAAGCCTCACTGTTCTCCTGGAGTGACTGTATGGAGTTGATGGTTCACCATGAATCATTCATGTGGGGGGATCTTCAATGGGAGGGTAGGGGCGACTGACGTTGATTTGCAGTATTTAGATGAAGAATGACTTTCCCATTCTTTTCGTTTGCTTCATCAGACTTGATGCCTATCCCTGTAAACCATACCCCCTCCTAAAATGATTACAAGAAGAGAAGGGAAACAAGCATATTCAATTAAGCCTCCCTGCTCTAGCAAGTCTAATTTATCATGTGCTTTAGGAAATACAGCTCCTTCTTTACAAAAAATTGGGAATGACTGTTCTTGATATGTGTCTCTCCCTTTTCTCTGCTTCATCCCCCCACCTCTAGCCTGTTTTTTTCCAACCTTCCTCTTTCCTCCCCATCTCCTCTCCTTCCTCTTACCTCTCTCCTTTTTGTATTCAACTTCTGTCCTAACCAGAAAGACAAAATGACTAGAAGTTAGAAAGAACAGCCACTGCCAGTATTTGCTAGTTTAGATCCTTTTGTAAACCATCAAAGGTAAAGACCTGAGGTATAAATTCTCTCACTCCCACTTCACTTTCTCCCTTCTCAATGTCTGATTCTTCTAAGTTTCTGGCAAGAAGGCCTCTTTAGTACAGAACTGAATTGTGATGTTTCCCTATATATCCTAATAACTTAAGAAACTAAAAGCCAACACCTCCACCTCACCTCAAGCCAAAGGCAAGTGCAAGGGACACAGGCAAGTTATTTCCAGGCAGATAGCTCAGTCTCTGTTATGTCTTATTGCCCACACCAAAGGCCTTGCAGCTACTGCTGTAGCCTGCTTACCATCACATCTTTTATGTGCAGCTTTCAGAAACCAGAATTTAATCTCCAATTTATCGGTCATCTTATAGGTATCCCTTTCCTCACCTCCTCAGAGTTCCCAGTCTCCAGGACTGTAGTAAATTATTTCTCTTGTTTAACCCACCTAACTGATTGCTTGTTATAGCAGCTAATTAAAATACTTCTGTAGTTCCCACTGAATCAAAGTCAATGGCAGTCTAGAATATCCAATGTTGATATCTCTCTACTGTCATTTGTTATCTCGCCTGTCGTCTATCATGTTTGTGATATTTGTCTTTCTGCTTTTCAAACATCCTCCATTTTTTCCTTCTGAAGGTTTTTGCACTTGATATTTGAGTTGCTTAGAATGACTTTCTATAAACCTCCTCAAGTCGGACAGTATTCATTTTCTAGGGTTAACTCAAAAGATTCCACATCAGCAATGCCTTCTGATGCACAGTAGCTTCTAGCTATTGTTCATCTCATTAGTCACTGTTTTGTTGCTTTCTGAACTTGCCGTGTTTAGTTATTTGTTTTCTACTCCCCTGCCCCACACACTTTACCAGAGCAGTAGCTTCCTGAGCAAACCGGTCTTTTCTTTTTGCCATCCTTTTCTTCAGCACTTAGAACAAGCCTTGGCAAATAAACGCTTCTTGAATGGATGGATGGATGGATGGATGGTTGGATGGATGGAAACAAAAGTGAGAACTGTTGGAAGTAAATGAATGAAATGAGAAAACTAATATTTTTGCAGAAGAAATGGGTAGTAGGAAGAAAAATAAAGGGAAAAGGTAACATGGAAGAAGATTCTGTGGTAGGTTTTAATAGGTTTGGGCTATCTCATTTTGCTCATGCTCTGTTATTCGTCATGAAATTTGAGGGTGATCTGGGGAGACTCTGGAGCTTTTTGAAGAACCTCTTATCATTGCTTAGGTTCGTGAATTCATTCCAGTGCACGAGTTTCTAGAGAGTGATTTGTGACAGCTTTCTTTCCCAATAGAGCACATGTCATTTGGCTTCCGCCTGTCATATACACTTTGACCCTTCTTCCCTGCCTCAAACTCTCTCTTGAGATGCACAGAAACTGGAGAGCATAGTTGGTGCCATGTTGGCCTCAATAATCTTAGATTGGGTAAAGCTGTGCCGGAAAAATTATGAAGCAAAACTTTATCTTAAGCATTTAACCTCTTGTAAGCCATAGTAGCACCCATATTCACTGGCAAGGGTGCACGAGGAAGGTACAGACTCCAGTCAGTGTGGCCTTCACAATGACCCTTGTTTCAAAAACAAAACAAATTAAAAAAAATCTATAATAGCCTGCCAGGAATTGACTTCAAATATACTGACCTTGTTGGGCCTTAACTTAGTGGCACTTAAAAGAGTATTATTTCAATGGTCCAGAATCCACATTTCTTTATAGTTTCCAGACTGAAATAAATTATCGTAAAACTCTGTGGATACAAAAGTTTTAAAATGAACCCATGCACCACATAAAATTTTTCTGTTGGAGTAGTTCAAAGGAGAAGGAAATGTCCTGGACCAGTTCCTCTTGTGTGCATCAACTACACACACAACTTGTAGGACTCCGGGAAGCCGCCCAGCCTTTACCTGCTCTATTGCCCTGAAGTGGGGACACACATTTTCAATGAAAAATTTACCTTAGAAATAGCTTATCTGAGTTTCTCGAGGGAATTGAAATCACCTTATCACTATGTCCTGAGAAATCTGCCATGTGCAAGGTCTGTGATCAGTGCACTGAAACCCTAACCATCTTTATCCAGAACTGCGGTATCCCAGTGCCTGTACATGGGAGGAGTAAAGAGATTTCTCCAGTCTTGCGTATCAGGAGTCTCATCACATGATCTTTCTGTTTCGACTGAAGTCTTTGTACCAGTCTCAGGCTATTCTGTCCAGTTGGTTTACATCATGTTAGTGAAGGGTCTTGATATTCACAGACTTCTCTCCTCACCCCTAATAGCTTGAATGCTTTGATTCTGGTTTGTTTTTAACAGGAAGGAGAATTGGTATCTGCAGAAAAGCTTTAGAGGTTTAGAATCAGGGAGCTGTGGAATTAATGATAATAAATAAAATGTCAGGAAGTAATAACACATCAGACAATAATGAAGTGGATCAGTGGTGTGTGACTGTAGAAGCCAGTTGCAACCATGCTTGGAATCCAGCCTGTTGGAATCAAGGAAACGGTCCTATGAAGTAAGACAGATATGCCTGCCTCCAGCTACCAGAGGGGTACAAAGAAGGATGGCTTTGCTTACTGAAAACTGGCGTTTGTACTGGTCATTCTCAGTATTTGAGTTGTGTGATGGATGGAGAAGTGAACTTGAAACAACTTACAGATCTTGATTCCCCTCCTCAAGGTCATTTCATCTGTATTATAAGAAGGCTGTTAGGATTTCAAATACATTAAGAGAATTTCCCTTTAAGTTCCTTAAATATCCTAAGGATGTTAATCAGCTTCAGAAGAAGTCCCCCAATTAATCCCTTTGCACCATCAAAGACTTCTATCTGCCATATTCCACATTTCATTATTTTCAAAAAATGGCTTTTCTTGCTAGGGAAGCATACTTTACTATTCCTTTCTTATATGAACAGAACCCTCTCTAAGAAAATGTTTGTTTGCTTGTTTGTTTTCCCCTTCTCAGAGTCAAACAGACCAAGTTGAACCATTGTGATTTACCGAATAGATTTCATTTCAGGGTCACATTGGCCAGGGAACGTTAATTCAGATTCACTGAGTGCTGAAAATGACTCAACTCCAGGTAAACTAAACATTCTTCCTAAAATCAAGCGAGCTCAGCTTCTCAAGGCTTGCTTCTCTCACTTCTCCCTCCCTCCTCTCCTTGCCAGATTGTCTGAGAGTGAGCTGGGCTCAGGGATGGTCACCAGGGACAGCGCCAGCTCATTAGCTTGCAGGAAAGGCTTCCAGCTCAGAAGCATCATGCTTCTCTCCATATCCTCACGGAGGGTGCACTCGAGGTTTGAGCGTGGGGTGGAAATGGAGGCGTTTCCGTGCTATTTTGGTTTATTCTACTGACTGGCTGCTCAGCTGTTCATGAGTCACCCTAACCTCAAAATCTGTCATTAGAACAGAAATAATGACACCTATTTTCTGTGCCTGCCTGAATTGCTTGCAGCATTATTCATATTTCTGAAATCCATGTGAAAATTAGTCAAGGTTAGATGTAAGGAAAAATTCAATGCAATTGCTCTTAAGTTATGATTCGTGTTTATCTTTTAGACTTTGAGAATTCTCTGTAGTGAGAAGTTAAGAATGAAATGAGATCTTAGGATGAAATTTGATATGTTTGTTTGACAAAATGGTTCAAGACTATATATAAATAAACAAATATATATTAAATTACTTAGAGATTTTTCACAATTTCTTTTTTTTTAAAGATACAACACCATGTTTTAGTCTCATGACACTCAATTCTGAAAGGACAGTCAGTGGAGGGGCAGCCAATTTTCTTTAGACCCAGACTTAGTTTTGATTCTGAGACATGTAACCATAGACACAGGTTAACACAGCAAGATCTCTGTGAGCTACGACAGAGCCATAAAGTAAGAAGCTGCCATCGGACTCTGGAATGTAACAGTCAGGTAAGGTTCAGAAAGGTGAGCTTGGGGCTGTATTGAGTAAGAGGGTGGTAGAACATTCCAGGCCTCTGCAGAGACTGAAAATGCATGGGCCGTTTCCTTTTGATTCTAGGATAGGATCTTGCTGAGAATTCATGGTAATCCTTCTACCTCAGCTTCAGAACTTATTCATTCAAATATTCACTTAATGACAAGTTCTCAACTGGCCTGGTGCTGACTTGGATGCTAGGGAATCACTGTGATGAAAAACACTTGCTGAAGGAGACCACACGTTAGAAACAAGCATGGTGCCGAGCTGGACACTCGGGATGTGATGGAAAACACTTGCCAAAAGAGACCATGTGTTGAAGAAGATGTTAATGGAATATGGGAACAGTGTATCTGTCATGATATTCAGGGGTTTTTCACTTAAATATCACACGTAGATGGTTCCTAAGGCAGCCATTAAGCCCTTCAAGGAGATAAAAAATTCAACTTAATAAGGAGGAAAATGTTCACCTTTATCTTAAATACTTTTTTTCTACAGCATGTCTTGTTTTACCTTAGTTGGTCTTTTTAATTTGTGGGTTTATTTTATAGAGGTTTATATTCATTTATATTTAGAAAAAAAATCACTGGAGGAAATGGCTTTGTTTCTGGATTCCACTTTATCTACAGTTGATATATTTATTTACAAATTGAGACTGTTAGCATTATACAATATTTACTGAATAATTTGTTAGGTGATCATTTACAAACATCTAAATAACAACTCATGTACCATTTAACTTTTTAATGTCAGCATCCAGCTACCTTATATAAGCAGGTTTGTGTGTATAGCATGTACACATAGAGTATATGTGTGTATTCTTTATCATATTGAGTTCTCTATACAGACTGTTGCATGGCAGACCTTTCTACTAGGAGTATTTTTGCAGGGGTTCTGCTTGTTTCTTCCTGCTCCACCCATTCATGGTTTCTGTCAAATTAAGCTGTTTTTATTACTGCTTCTCACAAGTATACTTCTGCAAGTCAGAACAATGTTTGTGAAAAAGCCCTTGCAAATGACAAAAAAAAAAAAATGAAGTAAAATCAAATACCCGTCCTTCACTTTCCCATCCAAATTCCAAGAGTGCATATTCTTAAGAACTGGCTTTCCTCTACCTAGAGGAAAGGACTCAGATATACAGCTCCTCCCATGCCCACATTAAAAGACATGGAATAGTAGCACTGAGCCTCTGTGCAGCAACCTCCCAGCCCTGTGACTGGAGTCCCCATCTTGGTCCATGATTTGAATGATAACATCTATCCCAGGCCTTGCTCCTCTACACACAGCTGCCTGGTCACTGGCTTCCATCTCCCAACTTTGGAGCAATAATCTTTTCTCTTGGTGCTGTATTTTATCCTCCAAAGATACAATCAGAGAAAAGTAGAATTCTGACTACTATTCTTACAAATATTCAACTTATTAAGGAGAAATAAGCAAACATACATTTTTATTCTAACAAGTTCATGTGTATATGTATGCAAAACTACTTTTGATTTATGTCATAGTGTCAGTTAAATTCTTGAAGGCGTGCCTTCTCAATCTTGAGCACATATAGTAGAATGTTTTGTTTTCTTCAGAAAAGTGGTCTATGATGATAATTAGTGCAAAATCCATGTATACACTTTGATGCTTTATTTACATCTCTCAAAGTAAGGTGATGATAAACAATTTAGACATATGTATAGAAATTGATATGTTACATTTTTAAAAAATTCAGACAATTATCAACTCTATTTCTAATTTAGATGATTTTCATACTCTCCTGAAAATTTTTTCTCATTATAACTTCTTTGTTCTCACCAGATGCAATGATTCTTGCTAAAAGCATCAACACACTCCTTAATCTATCTATCATTTTTCAACTCTCCATTTAAATCTCATCAAGAGGTTAAACCAAATTATAGAGGATGGAAACAATCCTTTTGTAATTTGAAGAAAATAAAGGAACACTATTTCAGCAGCTCAGATTAATCAGGATGAAATTAACCTTACAAAGCCTTCCTCTGACCTAACATCTGACCTTTCCCCAAGACCAAGTGCCCTCTTCCACTACCAGTTACTGGACACTGGATGCAGTTAGCAATCCTTGAGTGTTTCCCTGGATAAACTACTCACCACTTTCATTTATTCTTTTATCTCCAGATCCTTCCCCTATTCTTTTTAAACATTGGTGTCCTAGTAACTCGCTCGTCTTTAGACCAATGGTTGCTTCTTTTCATCCAGTCAGACAGCCTGATGCTAGCTGGTGTATGTCTAGATATCTGCCTCTCCCCCATTTCATTTTCACCATCATCATGTTCTCTTCGACTCTCCTGAGATACCGTCTCTTCCCTCTTCTAGGACCTCCTGATCCAATGACAAATGTTATTTTAGCTCACAGCATGTTTATCAAATGTCTTTAACATTCACCTGACATTTAAATACTACTTCTGAGAGAATACACCCGAAACATACTCAAAAGTACATTTGAAAACAAAACAAAACCACGCAAGTCACAGATGTTCAGATGTCTATTTATGATAGAAAAGTTACTTTAAAAATACGTGCAGCAGTATTTAAATAAAGAATTCTAAATCGTTTTGTAGACTTTAATGGAAAAAGAAAGCTCTGTAGTTAGTGAAAACATCTCTACACTCCAATGTAATTTTAAACAAGTATTTACTTTATGACATGTAATAGTAACCTGTACATTGCTTATTGAGCTTGATTAAAGAAGTCAAAGGTAAACAAAGTAGTTAAAATGTGAATGGGTAACTGTCATGAAAAGAGCCAAAGACTTTACTTGGGTTTCTGAGGGTTCTCTGAGTATTGGTTTTGTAGATAACCTCTTACATGCTCCTCTATTTATGACTTGCAGTTCACACCTGGATGGAATCTCCTCAGAGATGGATCTGTTTCTAGCCAAGAGCCTATAGCCCTGGTGGTGAAATTTGCCTGCAGAGTCCTTACAGAACAGGGAGACTTCCGCTCCACAGGCAGATTTCCTTCTTGTCTTCTCAGCTCCATGCTTTTGTGGCAGGTGTCCACATGCTCTCTAAGTATCTGTGGGTAAACTGAGGGCAGATGCTAGTCGACAGCCATTGAGGACTAGAGACTTCAGCCCAACAAGCTCTGAGGAAACCAATGCTGTTTAGTACAGTGAGCTTGAAAATGGATCGTTCTCCTATCAGATGGCACTGCGTTCTTTCATAGAGCTTTGTGGAAGATCATCAAGTAGAAAAGCAAACCAAATTGTTCCTGGATTTCTGACCCTCAGAAACCATGAGATAATAAAAATGCTATTGGTGCTTGATGTAAAACATTAGGCTGCAACAACCAGCTAACACATGAAGGCTTGCTTTGTTGAATAAAAGGAGTCAAGATCAATTTGAAATGCTCAAGGATTTTGTAAACATATCCTGAAATTTGACTGTTAATATCTTATACCTTGCTTGGAAAAAGAGAACAAAGGAAAGAGAGCAGGTGCCTTCACTGCACGGGACAGAATTGCACAAGTTTGCAGAAGAATAATATCTTGAATGCTTTGGTACTTAAGATTTTTATCCTTCTGCTATTGCAGAACGTAGAGTCATCTGAATAGTACAGTGTTCATCCCTGCATTAACAACCTGCCATAAATGTACCTGTAAGAGGTCTTTACCCCATCATAGGGTTTTGCTGATAGGAAAGGGGAAAATGAAATTCTGGATCACCAAGGACCGATTCCTCCCCCAGGAAGAGCTGATAGGGTGAACAGCTCTGATTATGACCGTGTGGTTTTATTGGGGATGCAGAAGGACTCCATGTCCTGGGGATGGAGGGGAACTCTTCATCCTGAGGATAAAGAAGGACTCAGAGAAGTGGTTGTGTAAATCCACACAAGGAAAAGTGGGAGTTTGAGCGTTGGAGCCTTTCAGTCAGAGTGGGGCCTTTCTCCCCTCTACCTGAGGAGTCTTACCGATGGGATTGGCTGGAGGCTGGGTTTAAAGAACCCCAGACTATGAAGCAATGAGTAAAGAATTGTTCATCCTTAACCATTGACTCCTTCTCTAAGCACCTTACCAGAAGGGGAGAAAAAAGTAAAGTTGAGGAAGAGGGTTAAAAAAATGGCATCCAAGTAGGTAATATGTAATTTTCTATAACAGG